ATAGCTACTATCTTTATATCTAGGTTCATATTGTCTATTAGTATTATTACTAAAGTTATGTTTTCCTTGATGATTATTCGCCTAATAATCTGGTCGTCTATCACTACCCTTATCATATTTCTGAAATGTATTCGCCTTAGAATAACTGTTACGGCCTGACTGATATTGACGTCCTGACTCCTTCTCCCAATAGGAAAATCCACCCCTATTTACAATATAGTCATCAGCTAATTTTGCCATTTCTACACTATCCTTAGGCTTCTTATCTCTAAGATAAATTTTTAACTCTTCAGGCATCTTATTCATAGCTTGTTCCATAATTATCAATTCAACAATGCCATCAGCATCATTGTCTTCTAATCCTGCAAAGGTAATCCAATGTTTAACCTGATACTCTAGATCTGTTACCGGTACCCATTCTTTAATGCATTCATCAGGTTTTCTAGCTCTAGCTCTAAATTTCAGCCTATACGTCTCGGCACTAATTTCATACTTATCCAGTATAGCTTTCTTAAGTGTATCATAGTCCTGTGCCTCAGTATTATTAAGCCTAGCATATGCTACTTTTGCTTGACCAACTAATTCAGGAGCCAGCTTAGCTGCCCAAATCTCTCTATCCCACTTATTCGCTATCGCTAGGTTTTCAAAAGCTCTAAGGTAGACATCAATATCTTCATTTTCTTTCAGCCTCGGTACACGTCCTACATCCTGGTTTTGCCTATTACCACTATTATTTTCGTTACCTTTGTTTTGCCCTTCTAATTTTTTTAATTTTAACTTGAGTTTCCGATTCTAATCTTTTGTTGTTAGCTTCCAATTCTAATCTTTTTAATTCTAATTGATATTTAAGCCATTCTGCTGGAGATATACCAGCTGGTATCGCTTGGTTCATACCTAACTTATCTTCTACCTCATAATTACTTTCACTACTATCTTCAATATCATCCCCATTAATGTTTTTTGATAATTTGATATTTATATTTAATGATTGTGTATTTTTTAAGTGAATTTTCTTACTAAAACAGTGTTCTTTGCGCATATTCTGTAATTCTAGTCCTATTATTTGTACAGGTTAGTTTATCTATTCTTGGATCAACAAACTGTTGCCGTTTTTACATGATTATACCTTTTTCGCAAGTAATAGACAATCACACGTAGGAGGAGGCGTGGGATTATTTATTCGTAATGAATGTAATGTCCGTCTTTGCCCTGATCTTGCCCTCCCTAAAGAATTTGGTGATTCTATATTTATTGAAATAATACATAATACAAAAAAAAAAAAAACATAATTATTGGCACTGTATACAAACCTCCTTGTACAAACATTATTAGTTTCTCTAAACATATTGATGAATTACTAACTAAAATTAATACGGAAAATAAAATATGCAATCTTATGGGAGAATTTAATATTTATTTGCTTAAATTCCACAATCATAACATAACCAATAATTACTTAGATATTATTTTAACGCATTCATTCTATCCAACTGTTTCCAAAGCAACTCGTATTACTTCAAACACTGCAACACTTATAGACCACTTTTATACTAATGAAACTTAACTCTCTAAAGTGGTGCGTTCCACTTATCTATATTATACCAAGGTACTGTAATTCAACAGAAGGATGCACATCTCTGCTCTCGAACATAGTGCGTGCGTACAGTCCTTTGATCTTTACTGTGGCATTGACAATCCGATACTAGTTGCGAGTACAGCCGTCAATTATTAGTTTATGTGTGCCATTCATTTCATGGAGTTTTATTTTGGGTGCTTCGCAATGCCTGTTACATCTGATTTTTTTTACCGCGAGCTTGTTAAATGCTTCTATAAACTGCAATTTGATTTGTGAAAATTGACCAAGAAAATGAAAAGTTAATAGCAATTTAAAATTTACGAATTTTATAAAATTTCATGTTCTTATGTGACATTAATCTGTTATTTTGACAATGTTGGCATAAGGTGCCGAAAACGAACATTTGAGTATATACAGAACATTTATTAATTTTTTCTGCGAAGTGAGTCTCATGAACGACAATTCACCACAATTTTGGTAAAATTAATGTTGAAATGAAGAATATAATTTCAGTCTATGTTAGTGCAAAATATTATTAGGCCTTTGTAATCACCGCACGACGCGCGATTATCATGGCAACTAACACGCGCCTGGGTAATTCGTCACGTACGCTGACGGTTTATGGTCTGGTTGCTATCTGTCTCTTATACAAATAAAATATTATTTGCAATATTTCTCTTTTAAGCAAAGACCTTTTACATACCTCCATATTTTAATATTGGTATTTAGCGATCTCATAATGTGCAAGGTCTGTGTTTTGTACAGTCACCTAGTGGGTGTTGCTAATTTTATCCCAGTTATATTTTTAGAGATAACATTACATAGTAGCATTAAAATGTTAAGCATTGCTTTTTAATAAAAAAAAAAAAAGTTTGTTTCACAATAAACATTTAAGTTCTAAATCCTGTATTGGA